TGTTGAACAATTTTTCGAATTTACAGAAGTGAATTCATTTTTCTCATTCCGTCCATCGATTGTTTCTCCATCATACCCCCACTCCGCTCTATATGACACTCGCGCGTTTGCTGGTCTTTCCGAATTATCGACACGCTCGGGCTCGCGCTCTGCTTTATCTATACCCACGCCCTCCGAAAATTACCGACACTCTTGCCCTCGCGACCTGTTTGATTCACAGGTACACCCGCAAAATTAGTCCCGCCAGTTCCGCTAGGAAATTTCGCGGTTGAAGCTTCGCCATTGGCGTTAGCAATCTCCCCTATAATCTCTGTACGTGGCACCGAAGAGGATTGACTAAAGTAGAGGCTCAGTTCTGGGGGTTTGAGTGACCCCACCGGCATCGTAGTATCTTATCCCAGAGAGAGAGAGGGCGCCACACGCAATGCTCGGGTGGTGTCTGCGCGTTTTCGCGCTGAGATGGATAGGAAACGAGATATACTAAAGTCACCATAAGTTTTTACTTCTCTGGGTGCCCCCACTCTACGTAGTTACCACTTGTAACCATGTCCCCCACTCCTAAAATCAATGTTAAAACTTATGCTGACTTCAGTATAATTGCAATTTTCTGAATCCTTAAAACAGTTGCGATTATCTATCATTAGCTATGCGTCGTAGCGCGAAAATAATGCATTCGCCTCCCCCAAAACCAATGTTCAAAAACAATTTTCAAAAAAAATTTTCAAAAAAATTTTGACTAGTCGACGGGGTGAATGTCATTTTCTGTGTTATAATAAAAAACAAAAACCAATTTCGTAACGCAAAAAAAAGCATTCGCACCGTCGACTGGTCCCTCTGACAGCGGGACAGCATTGTGTGTACTACTCAAATACTCAAACCCCCGGAACTGAGCCTCTACTTTAGTCAATCCTCTTTGCGTGGCACTCTTGATTCGACGCATGCGCACTCTCGTTAATGCTAATGCATGATTTGGAAGTTGGATAGCACGTAGCCATCAGAATGCTATACCGATACATAATAGTATACTAAAGTCACAAGTGCCTAACCCATGTGTCCGTAGTCTCAGTTTCGTATTAAAACACCATATTGGCCTCTGATTCTATTCATTGGTAAATTTTGTCGATCACTTTATTTACTCTTATAAAAATATGTGGTCAACTGGTTGGGAAGTAGTTGGTAAGAATAAGAAGGCCAAATTGGCCGGAAAACTTTCAAAATTGTCAAAGGCTGAGAAAAAGAAATTCATTGAGAATGCACCAAAAGTTGAGGATTTCCGTAAGTTAGCGATTGTGCTCAATGTGGTTTGTCAAATCCATAAAATAAAGTATAAAATTTATTTCATTTTGGCAGTTCCTCTTGATCAAGTGAAAACACTCTACGACAACTTAGAAGGCGATAAGGAAAATAATCAACCAAAAAATAAAGGATATAAAACTAAAGAGAATGAGGAAAAGAAAAAGCAGCACCAACAGAAATGTCAGCAAAATGACAGAAAACAGCCGATCAAAGGAAAATTTAAAGAAAAATTGAGTAAAATCACAGATAGAAATGCTATGACTGTAGAAAAAATTAACGAACTCCTAGAAACAAATAGGATGCGATTTCCAGAAGCTCCACTCATTTGGCTCAAGGACCTGGTCGCATATGTTAACAGGACAATTACGCAGGATAATCCAGACTTTATTTTCCAATCTACTTCAGATACTTATCCGCTGAGTTTAATTCCAAAATCCATTCGTACAATCTTCGAGAGAGTTATCAAAGGTGCAGGGGCTCAAAATGTTCAATTATTTTATGAGGGAACTCTCCTTTTAATGGTGAAGAACATGTCCAACGAGAGTCCAGATATGGGGAGCAAGATATTTCTGCAATTGTTGGCGCAAATATATCCAGAGATCACAGCATTAAATATCGAGAAACATATTAGTCTCAGAAATTCTTATCAAAATAAAAAATCAATCGGTTTTGCATTGCTTTGGGCTCTTTCTCAGGGGGGGAAAAAAAATCCAGGGGTAGGCCTAGCACTGTGGCATGAAGTTATGGCTCCCATGTTAGAATCCCGAATTTATGCTAGTTATGTTCTAAAAATATTAAGAAAAATTCTCGCGAATTGTAAGAATCCGAATAATCTGACGCAACAGATGTTGTTGGAAATTATTGAGGATTTATATTCTGGGAAGATCAATATTTCAAATGCTGTTGAAAAGGAGATTGAAGAATGCGGAGAACTATTGAAGGTACGCTTCTACTTGCAGTAATTATTTCAGTATCCAATTGTTACACATGTTGACTCTTTTTCCATTTCATTATTATTTTTGCCTTACTTTTACATTTTTCAATATTCAAGGACTTCTTTGTTCATATAATTTGTCGAGATGATTGAATTACTGAATTGTGGTGTTCGCTACCACGTGATTTATTGCCTTTAATCAAAATTCATCCTTTAAAAGTTTCCTGTGTATTGCCATTCATTATTTTCATTTATTTCGTAGGTGGCAGCTATGGAAAGTAATCAAATTGATCATCTGTTGCTATTTGAAAATTTATTTGGCAGAATTACATTAAAGATTACTCCAACTCTCAGAGATCAATTATTGACAATACTAACAGCTTGCATTGCTGTTGAATCCAAGTGTTTAGATTCCTGGATAAGTCTACATGTGAGGCATCTTTACACATCGGAATTGCTCCTCAAACAATTAGGTAATGCAATGATTAATTTCGGCATCCATCGATCCGCGTTAATCTAACTCAACATTGATTATTTAGAAATTTGATAATGTCCTCAGTGATTCCTTAGTTATGTACGAAATTGTCAAACAATAATATTGTTGAAATACAGCGCTTAGCATTTTCTATTAATCGACTAGGACGATAACAAAGTGTACGTTGTTACGAACGATTTTGTAAAATTTGCTCATATCAATTGTCCAAGTGGCAATTGTGAAAGATCACAAAATGATGACAATAGCTAAACAAGAAATGCAAATAGAATATAGTATTTTACAGGCAAACAAATATCTACAATGTCATCAATTCAGTGGCGATGAAGATACAGATGAACTTACGAAATGGGGAGTCTTAAGATTTGAAAGTGTCAAGTGTCTGAAAATGAAACCGTTTTTTAGTATGTCAACGAAAGTAGTAGAATTCTAAATCTGACAAAATAGTTTTTCACATGATATTACATATGCATAATGAATTATTCGATGAGAGCATTTCATTTTAATGTTAAAATATTCAGGAATGAGAACAGTAAAAATAGTGCCATGAATGTACTCTCATATGAAAGTTAATGTTCTTAGCTTTCGAATGATTTTGCACACCCATTCCCTATCATTAGTTCAGATGGAAAACCTCCACGAATTAAAAATCTGTGAAAAAAAAATCGAATTAAATCTGGGAGTGTAGGGTGCCGGCAGAAAATGTTATTTAGAAATTTATAACTTTCGTGCGGAGGAAAATACAGGGATGAAACAAAAACAGTATAGCTTATGTATTGACCGAAAATACGGAAACCTTGGAGAACTGACTTTCAAGTCAAGTAACTCAGAGTGACAACGATTTTTTAAATAAGTATAGTGTTACTTATGAACAAACCGGAATTCCTTATCCAAGTTTTACTGTTGAATTACATTCCTTAATTTTTATTTTAAAAAGGCATAGAATTAAATATTACTTTCTACAAATACTACCAATTCCAGGTGACAATTGGCATGATATTGACACTCAACTAAATTGCAGTGCTTTAAAGTTTTGCCTGGAAACAATTATCTCAATGGACATCAAAACGAAAAAAGGAAAGGAAGAAGCCTGTGTAGCCGCCTGTCGAAAACGTGCAGAGGTAAGAAAAACAATCAATCAATAATTTTCAATGCTGATACTGACAAAAAACGTACGTTTCCATCCATGCATTAAGTACGAGATTCGTGAGTGTGACCAGGCTTCTTTCCTTAGTTCCTATAGGCTCAAGTCCTTCTGCCTATGCTATGAAGCATATCTAGTGCATACTCATTAGAAAGCTCAATAAGGAAACTTCAAAATGACACATGACTTGTCAATTTATGACGATTTTTCATTACCTTATGATAGTTTCAGGCGAAAATTCAATCTTCGTATTTCATTCAAACAAATAACTTTGGCTGAATTTTTCCGTATTTCCCAATAAATCAGACAACAATTTATCATCAATCATTTTGAAGAACATGTACTTTTCTTCAATATGGTGTATGAAAAATGTGATTCCAGAGCCGCATAGCTCTGACTACCTCTCAAAACGTCATCTTTTGTTTTAATTTTATCTGGTTAATCAAAAATATATTCAAATTTGTGATCAAATTTGTGCTGCGACAGCCACTCCAATGGTTATAAAGAGATGATGAAAAAAAGCGGAAACACTATTGAAGGGCGCTGAATTGCGATAATGATTGAAAGGGATTTACCGAATTTACAAAACAATAATAAAAAATAGCTTACCATTGCTCTCTACTGGATTGAGTGACAGCTAGACACAATGGCAGGCTGCGTATTTTTCATTATATTTTTGTAAACTTGATAAATCTTTTTCAATCAATATCGCCATTCAGCGACCTTCCACAATCCTTCCTCTTTTTTCCATTATCTTCTTCTAGCCATCCGAATGGCTGCCGCAACACAAATTTGTTCCCAAATTTTAATATATTTTAGTCAATCCGGACCTTGACTGAATTTTCAGCTATTTAGAGTAGATTGCCTCCGGTTTCTGCATAATATCACACCCCAAAAATGGCACTTTCTGCCATTTATCGAGACTTTACACTGCACCAGTGGTAATAGATCGCAAGTCAATTTGTGGATCTCATCGCGATTTTCAAATTAATACTTCAATGAAAAACATCAAATGATTTTCCAATTGACCCCTAAGTTATCTAATTACGTCTAATACTCATCACCTTATAGGAGTTCGTATTAAAGAATTAAAGTGGATTTTTCCATACGTGTCGGTCAAGAGAGTGAAACTATCCAGGCAATACATCCATGTAATGACCTACTCATCAAGTTATAGCAGATTTTCTTTCCGTTTTTAGTGTTATAAGCTATATTCATCTGAAAAATTTTTAAATGAGCTTCAAAATGACACCTGGACTCATATAATTCTGATTGTTCATGGCCTTAGGATCGTCGCATTTCAAAACTCAAATTCCACAATTTAATTTTACAAGATGCCCTGAAAAATATATGAAGATGTATCCTCTGGATTCCAACTGGCAAACACTTAAATGAATTAAAAACCATTGCCTTTTTTATGCGCTGAACGCCAAGAAAATGAACTGCATCAATTTCTCAGTTTCTGCCAAAAAACAATACTCTAATGTAAATCAAGATACGCGACTGCGTATCGGCCAAGTGGGGGTTTTATCGGTGTAACGTCACATGCCGAAGCTGTCGGGTATAATATACACGACACAACTACTCCAAAAATGTGTTTTTGACTTTTTTTCTCGTAATATAATTATTATTTCGAAAAAAAAAAAAATAGTGAAGTTGAGATCTTACGATCCGCTCCTTTTTTGCACACGCAGCTCCACCCAAGACGTACGAGCGTACATTTAAATCCATTGGGTTATATATTGAACACATGTACAATGTTGCTTTACAATTATTATATTTTAGACCAGCAAGAGTCAAGTGCAAATTTAAACGAATTATCGATAACCATATTCCTTTGATAAAGTCTTGAAAAAATTTATTTTCCAATGAAGAATCGGCGGAATGAACGCATTACTCCATCTTGCGGAGAAAAAAAAAAAGAAGTTTAAGGTACCTTATACGCAACCTTGCTGATGTACATACCTCTAACTCACTCGGTTCACTGAGAATCTTACAATTGACATTTCATTGCAGCATAGCTTAGAACATTGGTAAAAACGTGGAAACAGGAAGGGGACATAATATCGATCTGTACGGTGCCATCGCGTATATATATTGAAGGATAGTCTTGTCGTGCTAGTGACGAAACGGCACCCAATCACCTTTTGCTTTCTCTTTTTTCCTTTTATTATAATTTAACATTAATAAATTGTAGTAACACTATTATTTATTATCCTAGAGGAGATAATTTATTAAACATAAACAACCTATCAAAGGTACGTTGGCAGAAGATTGAATGTATGCAGTTTCGGCCTAATCATCTCGAATTTATTCCTATCTTTCTGAAAGTGCTCTCTCTTTGTAGTTTGTGCCAGTTTCATAAATTACCAATTCATCCTAATTTTTTCGATTTAATAATTATTGAAAATCAGAATAATGCATTACTTGATTTTCTGTTGAATTCAAGAGTTTATCACGGAAAATGACAGCGTCACCGAAAAAGCAACGACCATTCCCATGGAAAAGAGGTTCCTTGTTGCTTTTCCTTCTCATTAGTGCTGTTGTTGCTTATGACTACAGAAACCATGGCTGTTTCGAAGGTAAAATTCACCCAGCTTATATTAATAATGAATTAATAAAACATCATGAATGATGGTTAAAAATTTTAAAGGAACATCCCACTATTTAAGAAAACAAGCAAAATTGCTAGGATCTTGCTACGCTGTGTTAATGTATTATAAAAATAGTCTAGTCCAAATACGTAAATATTTCTTCAAATTTCTATTTCAAATTCCGATTTTTTAATTTTTCTAGCAAATTTGCTATGGCATTGACGGGAAAAAATATAACGTTTTTGCGTTCTGCCATTATTGAATCACTTATGTTTTTTCTCCGTTTTCTCTAAACTTTTGAAAAGAATCACAAAGCTGTGGAGAAAGTGCATGGAAATGATCATCCCACCACAAAACGTCGTGAACCATTAAATAATTGCAAAACGCAAAAACGTTATATTATTTCACATCAATCTCATCGATAATTTATTAAAAAATTGAAAAAACGAGAATTATACATGGGTATTATATCAGTGTGGAGCATCCTTAAGGTCTGCATGGACTATTTATCGAGCGTGATATTTTGTTTGAATTCATACTAGGTAGTCTAAAATATATTGGAATTCGGCATGAAATTTGTGTTGCGGGAACCATTCGGATGGTTATCAAGTGATAATAAAAAGAAAAAAGGATAAATTATTAAAGGGCGTTAAATAACGATATTGATTGAAAGGAATTTACCAAACTTAAAAAAATATAATGAAAAGTAGGTAGCTGGGTTGAGTGACAGCTAAATGCAATGGTAAGCTGCATATTTTGTATTATTCTTTTGTAAACTTGGAAGATCCCTTTTAATTAATATGGCAATTTAGCGCCCTTCAATAATTTTTCCGTTTTTTTTTCATTATCTTTTGCATAGCTTTTGCATAGTTTTCCATAGCTTTTGCATAGCTTTTCAATAGCTTTGCATCCTTGCAACAAAGATTTGATCCTCAATTTTAATATATTTTTGGCTAATCAGAGTTGAAACAATAGATTATATTCTATAGATAGTCAATGTGGGCCTTAAAAAGGAATAAATTTTCCTTAATTGTATTTGAAGCATTTTTTGAAATTCTCCTCTCCACTTTTCTGTATACACTCGTTTTTCTTTTTAGCCTCTACCACTGGACATTTCGTGAAAATAAGCGGCGTAATGGGATACGCACAAAAGATTCTTACGGTGACCAAGTTTTACTCAGACAACGGATTAGACTACTTGAAAGCAATATCGCCTGAGTATTACGAAACTATTGCTGATTCAACAATCCACTACAGTAAATTGGCTGGTGACTTTTACCTTGTCGGAAGAAACCTAATCATGAGAATCTACAATAATACAGCTAACTATGCCGACGAGAAGTGGCCAATTGTTCTGGCTAATGTGAGTATAATAATTGGATGAGACATTCAAATACTCAAGTTTTTCCATATTTAAGTAGATTTCATTAATTTTTTAAATTTTTGGCGGTTACCAACATATTAAAGATACTCACTTGCTCAGCAGAAATAAATATAGAAGTGTAATTGAGTGGCGATTGCCAACTCGTAAAAACCAGAGACTCACAAATTGGGTCTAGTCTAGATAATGAAAGTAGAGAGCATACAATTGGAATTATTAAGAATCCAAGGATGGTTTTCAATTTTTCATAATGGTTTCTTTAATGAAGAATTATAAAGATATAGTGATAGTGGTAATTGTGGGAAAGTTATGAGCCGTATACAAACGAGAATAAATAGACGAGAAAAAGATGATCTGTAACTTTCCAGAAGAAAAGTTTATCTGAAATCATCATTTGAAAAGTTCAAAATTTAGGGTTTTAGGGTTTAGGAAGAGAAATTTATCTAGATGAATGAGAGAGGGGAGTTCACGTTGACGGAGTCAATTTACCATCGATTCCAAGAGTTTTATAAACTCCGTGGAGACGTTGGCCGTAATTGTTAAACCAGAAGCTAACGTATTCTCTACTTTTTTCGTGGATTGGAAAAAAAAAATATGCATCATCTTCTAAAAGATTAGAAGCTGATCGCAAATTTTCCAGTTTCACGAGGAGGTTCTGACTGGTTAAACTCCCGATCCCATAGCCATTTACATGTTTTCGGCTTAAAGGCAATGGGAAATTCTCAAACAGGAGAGAAATGAATGGAATCTGAAGCATAAACGCAAGCAAAAAACTATCAACTCTCGAGATGGTTTTTTTTTGTAAGTTAGAAAAACAGTCAGGGAGACAGCAGGCAAAGATACTGCGAAATTCTTCGCGCCAATTTATTAAGAGGATCTCTCTGAGGAACAAGTACGGGAACTGGAAGTCTCGAAGAAAATGACGACCACGCGATATTACTGTTTACGAGATTGCATGATCCAAAGTTATTAATTTTAAAGAACGGTTCTTCAAATTCGGACGAGTCTTCAACTGGCCAACTACGTGTACAAAAAACTGGAATAACCACCTCTAGAATTGCGACGCTTTTCGCGAATTCCCAAGACAATCGGAGAGGATTTTACTTCCTATATTGCACATGACTCGGAACATCCGGAAACCTACACTGGGGAAAACAAAGTTCTTAGAGAAGTGCATTTTTATTTGAATGAAGAAACTCATACTCGTAAATTTCCACGAAAACGATATCTTGCACTAACAAACAAAACTTTAGTCAAGAAATCTTGTACGTTTCCGAAACAGGATAGGCAATGATGAATCGACAAAAAAACAGGCGACCTGATGAACCAAATCAAGTAATGAAAAATGAGACTTCTGAAGAAATTCACTCAGCTACACTTAACTTGAGGATTATATTATCTGGTTAACTCATTTAGATCGATTTTTTTTGCAGAAACCTTGGTGCATTGCTACATCAAGCATAGCTACACCATATAAATCCCTGTATGCTGAAGAAAAAGTTAAAAAAAATCAAAAATAGAAGCCCGTACTTTTTTAATTGATATTGAAAGGTATTTAGAGAAACGCACAAGTCGGAAATATCTGCTTGATATAGCAGAGAGGAAAGCGGAGGCCCATTAAAGAATAGTATAGTTCGCAACGAGTGCGGAAAAATGAGATTTTAGGCGCGTGGGAGGTTTATAACAGGAGCAATTTCCTGCACATTTTGAATAATATTTTTTTTCGAAATGTGCGGGAATAGTCTATTATGCAACGTACATGATGAGTTTTTTGACTCGTGAGATTGTAAAACTCATCTTTGGCTCGTTCTATAATCCTCCCACGAGCCAAAAAATACCTAACGCACGAAGTGAGGTTAGAATTGCATGATTACGGGCACCTATGAGATAAATAAGATGAACATTGCAGAGTTTAATTTTGATGTTCTGATATTTCGGAAAAAATAATTTGGGTATACGTTCATCCTACTTCCTGTAGCACTCGGAAGCTTATTATTAATGTCCTTAGTAACAATAAAAAGTAAAAAAAATGGAAATGGGTATCATTTATTAAGTGTTAATTTGTTCTAGATTGAAGAATACTTCCCCGGCTGGCTTCACACATTGCGGACAATTGCAATAAAAGTGTTGGAATGTACTAAACAATACTCAAATTCAACTGCTGATTACATCATTGATAAATCACATGTTTTCATTCAATGGCTACAGTCTAGCGTTTTTGTGTAAGTATAATTCCCTAATCGGTGAATTCGCTGAGGAAAAATTAATTGAATAAATCCTGGAAGATAGTATTGTAATACGTCGATGCCATTTACACAATTGTTTCTGGAGTTCAATGAAAGAACACTATCATTAGCATAAAACGGTATTTAACGGTAGAGATTTCATTCAAAACTTGCTTAATTAATGCCAAAAGAAGTCATGTTTGCTCCTAAATTGCTTCTAAAAAGAGGGAAAATTGATCGACTGCAATTATGATTTCTTACAGGGGCAAGTGGAGTCCAGAAAATATAAGAAGCTACGCGATGAAAGCGGTTGATTTCACTCAAGAACATGCGACTCAAATCTATGATTGGGTATATGAGAAAGTGCAAACTCTGTCAAAGATCCAGTGAATCGTCAAAGGAGTACGAGTTATAACAAAATCAACTATACAAAAGCCACAGATGGAGGCACAAACCGATCAAGAGTAAACATAACAATGAAGGTTTTACGAAACAAAAAATACCATACAACCATAGAAAAAACCATTTTATATTTCTGCATTTACTTATATTTATATAAATATGATCAATTGTTCAGTTCCTTGAACATGTATACCTTTAGCATTAGTGCGACAGCCATTTTACCTGTGATATTCCGGAAAACCCAAAAATTATAAGAAAAACGTATCTCTCCTGAAATATCTGGAACTTTTCAATTGGTGCCCGTCTGCCTTTTTTCCTATGAATTAAACTACTGGCAAAAAAAAAACAATGAAATAAACATTATTGAATTATTATTATTATTATTATTACTATTATTATTATTATTATTATTATTATTATTATTATTATCATCATCATGTTTTTTATTATTTATATCGAGACATTCGTTGGTAATCAATTTATGCTGGATGAAATCATGGCAATCATAAAAGTCTTAAGAAATGAAAAAATTGCAATTTTTAGCTCTACATAGCAAAGCTTTGCATATATTAAAGAGCTTCAAGTTCTAAACCTCAATACTTCTTTCATTTGACTGATCCTTACGCGATAAAATAATTGATGGTTGTCTATATAATTAAAAATTCATATATATCTTAATTTTTTAGTGTAGAGATAAGAATGGGATAATCATAACAATGTTGTTCAACTGTGAAAATAATTGAATAAATGACATTTTTTAGAGTCTACTTTAAGAGTTACGAAAGCTTCAAGCAAGGTATTAATTGAAAAATAATAGATTGCGGTATGAGTACTGTGATGAAGTAAAATTTAGCCGCCATTTGCTAGTGATTTGGACCGATTTTGTACATTATTTAAGGAGTTATTACCGATATCGTCTCATTTTTCATGTTTTTTTCCAACTTTCTGAGAAATAGGTAATAAAATTAACGTAAAAAATATACAGTTTTGAAGTTTTACCGCGCAAAATTTTTCCTACGTTCCCAGTAAACTTTTGTAAAAATTCATTAAACTTTCCAAACATTTAGAAAAATAGCCGCACGACTATGAAAATTCGTGAAAAACGATATATTTTTGCATGTCAATCTGATCCAGGTCCTTCCAGAAATTTACAAACACCATGAGAAATGAGACGACATAAGCAATAACTCAAACCATTGAAATCATCCCAATTTTGTGCTCACAGTAGCCTAACCATACTACCCCCCTTCCTCTACATTAATATTTCGGAGGCCTAGAAAAGTGCAAAAGATAAAGATAAATTGTTGAAATCCATTATATTTCATTTATATTCTTTGCTCGTTTCATTGTTATTTCTCGGTTTTATTCCAGGGATATATTTAGTACCAAGTTCTCAGTACATCTAGTTATACTTTATTATATATCTACATAATCTTTATAACGTACACAACGTCGCAGTATCCAGAACAAAGCAACCGGGAATTACCATTTTAATACTGGAGATAATTGAAATAAAAACCAAGGAAACTGCCATCTGTAAGGGAAGAATAGCGAAATATGACTTATTAAAAAAAATAATGAACCGTATAAATATGAGAGAAGCAGAGGCGAACAGTGGAAAACTCATCATCAGTTAGAATGTAATTCAATGTATGGATACAGATTATCATTTCACATCTAGCACGATCGTTACCAAAAATATCTCATTTTCTTATCATTAAGTTGCGAAGGAAAAAAATTCTAATTTTTTTCCATCAATATAAAAACTGTTGTTTCTCCGTAGGAGATATTAAAAAATATAAGTAAGTTAACTATTCTTGATTTTCTGAGAAGCAATCAGGAATTTTTCACATTCAAAATCCGCATGTTTTACGAAATAAATGGATCAAAAGAAGTAATTAGGTAAGAGTGAGAACTTCCGCAGTGGATTATTACAATTCATGCGGAAAGAAAATCTTCATGGAATTTTTATAAAGTTGATTACAGAGATTTTCTTCCTTTTCGTCTTTTAGAGATGTCAACACCTCAAGTATTTGCCTGGAGAAAAACAACGAGTAATTACATTACTTGAAACAACGTAGTGATGAATAACGCAGAAGCAGAATGAATTTCACTTGAATTATTATTATTTTATTTTAAAATTCAAAAGAAAAGTTCACTTACACTATAGTGGACGGCTCATTTCTTCCTTTAACCATTTTATCCGCCTGCCACTTTTCCTTTTTAACTGAAGGAAACTGTGTAATTACATGTTTGGCTGATGCATGCATAGGACGGATTTCACACCAAGGACAATCCGTTTCGATCATTAATTTTTCTGACGGGATTGTCTTCACTGTGAATAAACTATCTTCTGTTTTCAGCGAGCTGGAAAAATTTAACAAATATTGATGTCTCAATTGCATTGTTCGTCACTTGAAAATTGAGCAATATTGAGCAATAATTTTGCAATAAAGTTTTTTTACTCGTGTAAAATTGGTGTCCAAGCTAAAGGACTGAAGGATTCACTAACAACAATAAAAAAAAACTCATCATCGCTATGTGTAAAGCGACATTTTAAAGTGTTTTTACACTTGTAGTCGGCTTCGGCTCGCGCTATAAACCTCTCACGACCCCAAAAACAATTCTTCGTAATCATGCAAACGTACAAACTAAGATTTTTTTCTTTTTTCAAGTATAGGTATTTTAAAAATCACCAACCATCCATTGATGCCGATATATAATCCCAATTGCAAAATACTATTAGCTTCTTCTGGAGTACCATCAAAAGAGTGTACTACCCCCTCGGTCAGTTCTTTTTTATGTTTCCTGAGAATATCGAGAAAATCCTGCGAAGCATTCCTGCAGTGCAAAAAAAGCGGTAGTCTCAGAGTCCCACACAAACCCAGCTGCATTTCAAAATACTTCTTCTGTATGTCCTTTGTGCAAAAATTTAAACGATCGTAGTCCAGACCAATTTCTCCAATCGCAACAATCTTATCGCGATTATTTGATGCTAAAGTTGCCATAGACTTGAGGTACTTCTCGGGGTCACCGAACTCTTCATATTCATTACAACGAGTAGGATGAACGCCAATTGTTGTATATAATCTTGCTGAATAAAATACAAATTCATATTTTCAATTCTTTTAAAATATAAGTAGAAAAACATTTTTTATCAATTATTTCATGTTTACTGAGAAAAAAATAAATTTCGAGAAAAGGATAAAATGGAGGATTTCAATTCTCTTCATTATACTAACGTCTCATTAAAGTGTTTGTATCAACTCAGGGTTGATACCCTCGAGCTACCAAACTAATATCACTCGAGATGTGATTCCTTCACTGAATTTCCCTGGGTGTTGCTTGATATTCTTTTTATCAAAACTACTTGGGAGGAAAGTTAATTGATAGGGGTGAATAACAAATAATTAAATTACACTGACACTGCACCTTGGTTCCATAGACTCAAAAAATGTTATCCTTTATTCAATACGGTCTTTGCGCACTAGAGAGATTACAAATTTGTTATTTTTCACTTCACTTCCAAAAACTAACTGACCTTTTTCACTTTTATTTTCTTGAGAGCGTCGGAAAAAGGAGGAGGAAATTAGCTAAACAATAATTATTGTCGTTTCTCTGATTGGTGAGCTAAGAACCTTCGAACTCATTGGTGTGATTTATCGATGGTGGGAGAAGAGAGGGTGGGATTTAAGGAAAATTAGAATTTTGACATTTCCGAAGTCATAAATTCTGTCTACGCGAAGTTGAACCCCTTTTTTTTTGTGTGACGGCTTGCAACGGATTATCTTGGAAAACAGCTAGTAAAGTTGGGGAGTTGCCCATAATAAAATGACGGGTTCGGCGGTTCTCGCTCCTCGCGTGCGATTTGAGGGTGGACAAAAAAATAGTGAATTGCTGAAGAGCTGACGGGTTTTGGGGAACAAGAATTTTCCCAGATGACCAGCAGCTTTGTTCAAACTACTTGTCCATGATTTTCATTGGGATTACTGGATTAGGCGGATGAAGAAAAAAAAAAGGCTTGAAATTTCTCCGTTATCCGCGTCCTCCCTCTTCGTTCGCTCTCCAAAATGTTTGTTAATTTCGAATATTTTCTTTTCCTTAAGAGCTATAAATTATAATCAAATACAATTCAACAATGAAAAACAATAGATTTGTTGGGGATGAAACAGTGTTAATAAAATATAATGATTTGTCCTATTTCATCGTCTATGTATTTCAGCCCAGATAAAAGTGAGCTCAATTCATCAATTTTTGCTACATTACTACCGGAAAATTAAAACTTAAGGCCCGGGTGGACTATTTATTGAATGTCATATTTTGTTTAAATTTTATCCTTTTAGCCTAAAATACATAAAAATTTGGGATCAAATTTGTGTTGAGGGAGCTACTCGAATGGTTATAAAAAAATAATGAAAAAAAAAGAAAAAATTATTTAAGGGCGCTAAAGAGCGATATTGTTCAAAAGGGATCTACTAAGTTTACAAAAAAATAATAAAAATTACGCAGCTTACGCAGCTTAGTCCACCCGGGCCTTAAATAAAAATACAAAAAAATAAAAAAAATAATGAGAAAGATGGCTCTTAATTGTAGAAACATTGGAAAATAACACTTCGTTTTATTATCATGAGCGTAATAATTCACTATTTAACGATATTCACATATATTACCAACCGACAAAAGAAACAAAAACCACGAATATTGACTATATTTTAATCGGGAATAACGTAAAAAATAACTTGAAATTATCATGCATAATTCAAAGCTCCGCAGTGGCCCAAACAGTTTTGAAGATATATTACAAAGTGTAATACCCTCAATGAATGGAACTTGAATTTTGCGTTTACTCAGGTATGCGCATGGAGATGAAGAATTACAGAAAAGCTTATCCAACTTTATTGACCTAAACTAGCAGCACAACGACAGACGTTGTAGCACTGTTTATTTTAACACTTCGTAATGAAATAAGTATTGATAAATTTAGGGAAAAACATGAAAAATTGTAAGTATTATACTTACGATCTGTTTTAGCAAGTTCAAGGGCCTTTTTGCTCTCCCCAAGGCTACCCGAAGTAATAATAATCTTTGACAGATTATTTTTCCAGCTTCTCTCCAGGACTATATCTAAGTCGGGGCGATGCTTCTCAGCTCCATGGTAAATCCCCTGGTACATGGGATCTAACAAATTGGCTCCGATATCTATAAATATAAGCAATTTTTATGAAGGACATTACCAAAATCGAAATATAGCTTATAATGGAGCGGAACAACCCTTAACCTATCAACTCGTTTAATTTCGTGTGCTCTATAAGGGTAGAAAAATATAATCAATGTTCATTACCTATGAATTTCCGTAAATTTGCCATTCTCGGAGTGCAATCATGCAATCACGAAACTCTTCAAACTGTAACAAAAGTGATCTTACAGGGATTTATACCGGTGTTTATTTCCTTTTCATTGAACTGGCTCCTCTGATAGATTGCAAGTGACCAATTAAATATACCTATACCTCCTATTCTTGTGGTAATGAAATCTCTAATCTGTTATGTTATAAATCTGATTACTGAAGTCACATTTTTGGTTTAATTATTGTCACTTTTAAATCCGTGAATAGTTGAGTCGATTGAGTCCAATAGTCGGTATAGAGAATAGTGGGGGACATTGGATTGATGTAATCGTGGATAAGGTGAAACTAAGGCTGCCTTTAAATCTCTCTGAATATCACAATTGAAAATAGATTTGAGATTATTTGATTTTTAAGCTTCAGGAGTAATATTTGTAGAATATAAATGAAAAAATATGATTAATACAAATTTATGATTTATTACAAATGATTATATTGGAGTTACAATCCAACGGTCTAGAACATTTTTCTTCTAGATTATTTTATGTCCGTCTTCTTTTCTTCTCATTTAATAGATCATTTTGCAACCGATGTTTCTTCCTTCTTCTATCCTCTCGCCCCTATTCGGTTTTCAAGTCTCTCAATGCAATGATTTGACAATAGCATTGATCTTTTCAACGCATTCTTCCTTTTTCCTAGTGATGATGCCCTCAGCATCGACGAACTGCTGACGACTGATTTTTCCAGGAACAAGTTTGTCCACATAAAGTGCCTGTTGTTGGTTATAAAATTCCTTTAATTGTTTATCGTGTTTTTGAAGTTCTTGAATTCTTTCATAAACCTCGGCTGAATCACTCCTTAGTTTTTGGGCTAATTCGTTAACAGTAGTGGTGGCATTTTTGTATTCCTGATTGATAGACTTCATGGCAGAAAGAAAGGCTCCAGTATCCTTATTTGCCTTGAGATAAATCAAATGCTCATCGAGCTCATTATAAGAAGTAACTCTCCTATCCTGAGCAACAAGAATCTTCTCACACTGCCCTGCGATTCTCAATCTGCTTTCTGAAGCTTCATCTTTATCAATTGAGAAATCTAAACGAACATAGATGATGACCAGTAAAAAGAGTAAATAAAGAGCCACTGACACTAATACAGGCTCCTGCAACATTAGCATCCTCGGAAAGTTGTACTTCAATTTGAAATCTTGAATGTGATTCTCGACAAGATTTTTTTTCGTAATTGAAATCACAGGACGTCCGCAAGTATCCAAGTAAGAATAATGTAAAGAATCAGGCAGTCTGGTGGCTTCATAAGGCAGAACCAACTCTAGATTTTTCGATCCTTCTGGCAAAATAATGGTCAGAAGCAATTCATCAACCACCATGTCATCAAACACATGATCAAGGACTCTCATCTTTAAAATGAAGTCTTCTCCATTCTGAAAAAGATATTCATAACTCGGTACATTATATCCAATAGTATAACGAGTTTTCCAGCCTCCAAATAATGGGAATCTAGGTCTCAAATTAACGTCGACAGAATCTTTCTTTACTCTAGTATGCGAGGTAGAGATATTTCCTATTTCGTCTCTATAATATATATCAGAAGCAGCCGCTGGTAGAATCGTATCAAAACTCTGGATGCTAGCCTGTCCTGATCTCGATTCTCTAGAGTATTCATACCTCGAAAATGATCCCTTCAGGAGAGCACCAGTGTGAAGAAGATCAATAGTCTCTTCAACAGCGATATTACCCCAGTGAGAAACTTCTAGAACTCGTTCCAGGCGTACCACAGTCAAGAATTTGTTGTTATTCTCAAAATGGACTGTAAATTCTTCATAACTATATGGTAGACGTTTCTCCAGTGGCCCATAAATAATAGTTGTATCAGTTACTGAGACTGGTTTGATCCTGGTAAAACTTTCAAGATTTCTCGAAGGTAGAACAACATTAGTAGTTTGTTTCAGTACATTGTAAGGTGACCAAATTGCAGCATTTCCTATGTACTTTACCAATTGTTTTTCTTTTTGAGAGATTTGTTTCGGATAAGGGGCTAATTCATGGGTTGACACACTTTCCACCTCCACTGCTATTGTACGGCCTGATTGGAGAGAGTCCTTCAGCTCTATCTTGTATAGAATTTGCCCTTCATGGCCAGGCAGTTTTGTCCTCAACAGCACCAATTCAGCCCTACTCGCGTCCCTTGTGTGTGCACCGATATAACTCAATGCTCTATTTTTCTCAGATTCCATTGCATAGTAGAAATATTTTATTGGAGTTTTACCGGTGTTCTCCACCACGAGTTTCGTTGTTATTTTTGTTAAATGAGATTGAACATCTATCGTTCTGTCCACATTTTTCAGCACAATTTCTGTGTTAAACTCTTCCAGGGCGAAAATTATTGTTAATGATGATAAGAACATCAAGATCGCCAAGGACCTCAATGAATTCTTGACCAGAGTCATTTTTTACAATTTTCACGTACTTTTAGAAGTTTGTCTCACTCAACTTTTTTTAGCCAATGATTAGAGTATCCACTGATAATTTGAGGTTTAGTAGTTCGAACAGACTGATATAAACGTGGCGGGCGGGTAAAGACGTGGCCACTGCTCATTCCATCAGATCTTGTCACTAATTTTTTTGATTGGATTTTCGACGATATTGGTCCTCTTGATTGGTACTTCCGTCGAGTATTATTATTATTATTAATATTATTATTTAGACCACTGTGTGAAAGGTAATTGTATTCCAACTACTCCTTTAGTAAATATTAGTGAAATCTATTAGTAAAAAAATTGCAGGGTCGCGTTTATTCAGACTTAAAACTTGTTCTTTTTCTCCCATTAGGGGGCGTCGGACATCACCCAGTGTTCGCCCAGAGCAGAGATTATAGGGGAGATTGCTAGGACTTATGGAAAGGCTTGGGCGAGTAATTCATTGCGGCGGCTACGGAACTACGCCCAGAGAGCCCGTACGTGTAAGTAAAACAGGTCGCGAGCCCGTGAGTGTTGATAATTTTCAGAGCCCATGAGTATGGATACGACAGAGCGCGCGCCCGTGAGTGTCGATAATTCGAGGCGGTCGTGAGTGTCAGTAAGGTAGGGCACTTATTGAAATAACGATGACGTCCGAAAACGAACGAAAACATCCGATGTACCGGAGAGTGGGGGTATGATGGAGACACAACCGATGGACGGAATGAAAAAGCAATTTACGTTCATAAATACGCCATTTGTTTAAAAAATTGAGGAAAAATTGTCTCGAACATGTATACTCAAACGATTGAGAATCGTCTGAAACGTGGAGATTTATTGGTCCCTCGGAACTTTTTTTTTTGAGCGATATCTTTTTTGTTAACAAATTAAAAAATGACTAAACAAATTGGGGAAAAATTGTCTCGCAAATATATATTCACACGATTGGGAATCGCTTGAAACGTCGAGATTTATGGGTCCCTCGGAACCTTTTTTTTTCAACGGCTCTATTTTTGTTAACAAATTCAAAAATGATTAAACAAATTGGGGAAAAATGGTCTCGCAAATGTATACTCAAACGATTGAGAATCGTCTGAAACGTGGAGATTTATGGGTACCTCGGAACTTTTTTTTTTAAACGATATCTTTTTTGTTAACAAATAAAAAAATGATTAAACACATTCGGGAAAAATTGTCTCGCAAATGTATACTCAAACGATTCAGAATCGTCTGAAACGTGGAGATTTATGGGTCCCTCGGAACTTTTTTTTTTAAACGATATCTTTTTTGTTAACAAATTAAAAAATGATTAAACAAATTCGTGGAAAATTGTCTCGCAAATGTATACTCAAACGATTGAGAATCGTCTGAAACGTGGAGAATTATGGGTCCCTCGGAACTTTTTTTTTAAACGATATCTTTTTTGTTAACAAATAAAAAAATGATTAAACAAATTCGGGAAAAATTGTCTCGCAAATGTATACTCAAACGATTCAGAATCGTCGGAAACGTGGAGATTTATGGGTCCGTCGGAACTTTTTTTTTTAACGATATCTTTATTGTTAACAAATTAAAAAATGATTAAACAAATTCGGGAAAAATTGTCTCGCCAATGTCTACTCAAACGATTGAGAATCGTCTGAAACGTGGAGATTTATTGGCCCCTCGGAACTTTTTTTTTTAACGGCTCTATTTTTGTCAACAAAATGGAAAAATGACTAAACAAATTCGGGAAAAATTGTGTCGCAAATGTATACTCAAACGATTGAGAATCGTCTGAAACGTGGAAATTTATTGGTCCCTCGGAACTTTTTTTTTTAAACGATATCTTTTTTGTTGACACATTCAAAAATGATTAAACAAATTTGAGAAAAATAGAGCCGTTGAAAAAAAAAGGTTCCGAGGGACTCATAAATCTCCACGTTTCAGACGATTCTCAATCGTTTGAATATATATTTGCGAGACAATTTTTCCCGAATTTGTTTAAACTTTTTTCAATTTGTTAACAAAAAAGATATCCTTTAAAAAAAAAAGTTCCGAGGGATCAATAAATCTCCACGTTTCAGACGATTCTCAATCGTTTGAGTATATATTCGTGAGACATTTTTTCCGCAATTTGTTCAACAATTTTTCGAATTTTTTAGAGTGAACTCATTTTTCATTCCGTCCATCGGTTGTTTCTTGATCGTACCCCCACTCCGCTTTATATCGAATGTTTTCGTACGTCACGGTTTCCGCGAATTATCGATACTCTCGGTGTCATGCTGTGCCGAATTATCTACACTCTGGGGCTCGCGCTCTGTCTTATCCATACTCACAGGCTCTGAACACTAGCGACACGCACGGGCTCTGAAAATTATCGACACTCACGGGCTCGCGACCTGTTTTACTTACAGGTACGGGCTCTCGATCTGCTTTACTTACAGCTACGGCCTCTGATTTAGTTCCGTAGCCGCCGCTACGAGACTTCGTTGATGAATTTTTATCATATGAGCATTGCTGACTTCTTCTATCATCTCTGGTTAAGCCCCCTCTCGCCATTTACAGGCAAGTTGTTTTTTAATTACGTATTTCCATTATTCTATCAATTCGTCCGAGAGGCATGGCATTTGTCAATTATGTAAGTAAATAGATGATAATCTTATTGAAAATACATTTCGAAGTAACCTCTCATTAAGTATTGTTCTTAGTAGTTCCCTATTGCAATCAAGGATAAAATTGTTCTTTAATAATTTATATTGATCTCTACTACTTAAGTTGCTATGGAACTATATTTATTTCAGATACATTCTTTGTGCTATATGAGGAGAGAGAACTCTGAGAGAGCTTTATAAGTACACATGAGGGAATTATCATTATCAAGCTAAGGAAAAAAACGGATATCGAAATATTGAGTCATGAATTCTCTCAATACGATCATATAAAAATCTAAGGTAAATGTCTAGTTCAAGTCCACCACGCCATTCTAATTATTGGATTGGATGGGTTTCCATCCTCTTATTAAGGGTCTGATCATCTTTTCCCCGAGAAACAATTAGTGTAGGCGATATCACTGTTAATACACCGCACTCTGAGTTATGCAGAGCTCCGACGAGGACGTGGCGGTTTGTGTGCCCCTAAGACAGCACAAAAAGATGGAATTTCCAATCGGTCTTAAGCACAATTATAAACTCTCAATTTGACCTCGCTCGACCACGTACAGTCACTGACTGGACTCGGCAAGTGATTTTTCTGCCCCTACCCTTCTGTAGTAATCCAAACTATATTTAATATTTTAATAAATCACTCACTCGTCGTGTTGATAGCGACAGTATGTTAGGGGGGGTCTAGGAAAAGAAATGATAATTTAGATGATCGTTATTATTGGTGGAGGTGAACCATATATTCACAATGACTAACAGTCCATTACAATTTATAGTTGGGTGGTCGACTAGGCTGTGTAACTTGAACTATAACACTTTCTTAATCACATTTCTGTCTTTAAGAGAGCTAACCCATTTGATTCACATGTAATATGAAAAACAAAAGATAGGAAACTCCATCGATTTTTCTATACACATACGATTCTATTTAATTGTTATGAAACTGTATTTATGTCATAGGTGCCCGTAATCACGGATTACGGGTCCAATGACATAAAATAGTGTACGAAACACGTGCGTTATAGATTTTTCGACCCTTGGGATGGTCAAACTCGCCTTCGGCTCGTGTTAGAACCCTCCCACGAGCTAAGAAATCCATTACGCACTTGCTGCGTAACATACTATTGTTTTGGGTTGATTTTATAAAAGTTGTTAATTGAAAAAACTCTCTAAAAGAAGTCTATGGAATCCATTTTTATGTACAAAGTTATGGGTTCAACTGTGTTCTAAAAACTTGCTTTAAGTCCAACTTTCTGCATGCTATTTTGTAAAAGAAAAGAAAGGAGGAAGATAGAATGAAACAACTGGGAACAAATTTGAAATGTAATATTTCTTTAAAAGATATCACGATGAATTAAATTATACAGAACAATTGACTTCTAGTAATTTTGTCTCTAAAATGATTAAAAAATTAAAATTAAGTTAATAAAATTAATTACACGGAGGGGGTGAGCGGATGTGGAGGGGTATGACTTTCATAAGTGTTCCAATTCCTGAACACGAAAAAATCGAGACCTCAATTACCTCGTTGAAGTGCTATTTGGCGACTTTACGGGAATTATTTTTTTTTTAATATTAGATATTCAACATGGCGTTACAATACGTTAATGACATTAAAAAATTTCTATAATTCTATTAAATAATTGTTAAGATAATAAAAATTCCATGCAAGACAGGCAACGTGCCAATAATAATTGAGAAAACGGAAATCGCATATACAAAATTAAGAACAAATCGATGGTTCCAATTCAAGGAAAAACTATTTAAAAAATCGTAGATTTTTTGACTGAAAAAGCTGAACAATAGAAAGTTTTTACTCATTATGTAAAGAAAACCAATTCAAAAGAAGAGAAATGTATTTCAAAGAGTATATACTCGTTATGCTGTGGACTGATAATCTATTAATGGGATTCCATCAACATTTAAATTGATAACCATTCCTCCATTATTTATGACTGTTTAGCAAGAAATGCATAAGAAATTAACATCATTTTTTTCATTCATTACTTCGTTTATAGATTTTAATTATCGACCCATGCAAGGAATAACCTAAATTCAATGGAGTTTTATATTTAGAGTGTTTCCATTTATCTCTAGAACTCCTTCCATGCTGCCATATGCTCGAGTGGCGCGCGATGCAATTTTAGTCAATGAAAAATTTGCTATGTTTTGGATCGGGATTTCTGGAAATGCCGCACATTAAGGCTCGGGTGGAGGGATTTTTGCCCGACATGTCCCTAGGAAATTCCCTAGAAAAAACGCGTTTTACGGGTAACTAAATGCCAGCCCCTGTAGGCCCTCAAAAAATATAATTGTAGGGTCAATCGACAGATAATTATTTTTGCCGGGCCGGTAATTAGGTCTCAAGGGTGGGAAATTGAGGAATGAACGTGTAAATTACGTTCAAAGAGACCCGCTAGATTTCACCAAGATGAATTCTCCAATGATCGTTTGGGGAAAAATATGGCGGCTCAATCACTGCGGAATAAAAACACTCCCCACAATTTACACATCCACTTCTCACTCGCGACACCTAATTACCGGCCCGTGAACACAATTATTACATTTTTCGCGATTTTTCCCGGAAAGATTCGATGCACTGAACGCCCGGAGTTTAGGTTCGCGAGTACGAAGCGATCAGCTGTCAATTTTAGGGAAACGAAGTTTAGATAGATGGCGACAGTGTGGCTTCTCGGCACAATTCCGATTACTTTGGCGCCGCGATTTAACGGTTGTTTTCCGAACTATTTTGTCTCGCGAGTTCGAGAAAAATAATGAAAAAATTCCCTCTACACGGTATTTCGAGATATAGCGGGAAAAGGGGGCAAAATTTGACCCCTTTTTTTTGAAAAATATGGTTTATATTTTATATATTACTGAATAAATCTAAATCTATAATATCATATTATATGAAAATTTCTAGCCGTTTTTTTAACCTTTACATCATCTAGCGGATTTTTCACGAATTATATAAATTCGAATGACATCTTGCCGCCATTGTTTTCCTTCATTCTCCTTTGTTTTTCAAAGCGTGTTAATCAGGCAGCGAAGCAAATTACAGTTTTTTTTTGTGATTTTCAAAGTGAATTAAAAGTGTTAAAATGTCTAACACATCCTCTCATCCTCAATTGCATCCAAAGCTTGCTCATTTTTCTATATTTACCTCATTTGGAGGGCTTGTTCAAACAAACAGACTTTACCTCCACGTGTTGCATTCTGGGTAACGCCAAAACAGTTTGAAGATAAAGCCAAAAACTAGCTAAGTTCCCCCCTCACATCTCTTTTTTTTGTGCTAATAAGCATGTAGATTTGAAGGCATAAAAAAAGCGGGGTCCAGGGGCAGCGCCCCTTGCGGGGCCCAGGGGCGGAGGTCGTAGGGGGTTGTGGGGGCGAAGCCCCCCCAGTCAAGAATAAAAATTGGCTTTATCATTAAAGATAATAATTTGGGAAAAAATCACAGAAGTAATTAACTATGTAATTAAACAAAAACAACAACAAATAGTTCATTTTTAGCAAAAAAATAACAAAATTAGAACATGTAAACATTAATATTTAGTGCTTTCTCTGTATAATTATAGTTTATACAGCTGAAATGTATAAATAATAATATTTTCACAACTTGAATTTGAAATTAGAAATAAAAATTTCTACTCAAAACTTTCCACATTTTTAAAATTATTTTGGTTATTGACAAGGCTGAATACCCCTCCCCCCCTCCCGCCGCCTTCCACCCCCAATCCCCAACGTTCCAACATTGTAGGATATAAGTTGGTATTATTTGAAATTTTTACATTAAAAAATCGAAAACTACTATAAATAATAGAGAACGATTTTTTTTATTTTTCCCGAATTCCTGAGACAAAATACTACGGGAAACCACCACCAGACTGTGGCGCCAAAGTAATCGGAATCGTGCCGGCCTCTCAATCTCGGAGGGGCAAAAATGGGTTTCACAGCAGAAGTGATCAGGAGCGTATGAAGGAGGGGCACTTTTGGGGGGATAATATCCCAATGGGGGGATAGGAATAAATGGTACTGGGAGGGAGAATTTCTAAATTAGGGGTTAGACAGATGCGTCAAGATAGAGGGTGGGTGGAAGGGTGAAACTGGGACTGAGAAAAGGGTGCGTTTATAAACATGGTGTTTGTAGGCATGGTTAGGGGTGCAGTGAAGGGATGAAAATGGGATGAATGCTTGCAGGAAATAAGGAGGTTTTAGGGTGAAGGGATAAAATGCTTCTGGATAAAAGGGGGGGTTTTTACACCCTCATTAACACATTTCCAAGATGGCCGACGGGGTAAAAATCTATACAGGGATGACAAAAAATGTCTCCACAGGGGTGGGTAAATCGACTCAGGGGGTGATTCTATGTCGATCTGTACCTATAAATTTCGACATTTTTTTTTCCCACCCTCATTAAGCCTCTTTCAAGATGGCCGACGGGGTAAAAAAAATGTCTCCACAGGGGTGGGTAAATCGACTCAGGGGGTGATTTTGAGTCGATCTGTACCTATAACTTTTGATCTTTTTTTTTCCACCCCCACTATTACATTTCCAAAATGGCCGATGGGGTAAAAAAAGTCTTTACAGGGATGGGTAAATCGACTCAGGGTGTGATTCTGAGTCGATCTGTACCTATAAATTTTAACCTTTGTTTTCCACCCTCACTAACCCTCTTTCAAGATGGCCGACGGAGTGAAAAAGGGTCCACGGGTGTATGTAGATTGATTCACGGAATGATTAGACGGAATTCCGGAGTCCTATCAGTGAATTGGAAAAAAATAAAAATAGAAGTGCGAACTGAGTGCATTGGAAAAAAATTATGGGTTGAGTGTGGGAAGAGTGTGCCAGGATGCAAAGGAAGTTCATGGTGGGATGAATTCATTCGGCAAAAATGATGGTTGAGGGTTGGGAAAATGAGTCATGGGGAAAATGAGGGTTGACGGTGGGATGAGTGCATTGGAAGAAATGCAGAGTT